CCTGAATTAAAGAAATAATCATTGAAATTACATATTGCAAAATGACATCATGTACCTGGGAAAGACTGACCTACTAGATGCCGTCTGGTAAAACTACTGGAATTCAAAGAAAAAGGAAAAGGAGTCTTTTGGGAATCCAGGCAGAAAAATGAAATTACTTGCAAGGGAAAGAATCCCTTCTATCATTACTTTTGCCAGAAGCCAAAGGAATAATATGCTTAAAACTCAAGGGAAGAAAACTGTAAGCCAAGGGGTTTATATTCAGCTAATCAGACTTGCAAGTACAAAGGCTGTGGACAAAGTGTTATGAACATGAAAGAATTGTAGGAGATGCCTCCTAGAGAATAAGCTTTAGACAATCAAATGGCTAAAGGACATTAACGTAAGTCTAGCTGTGAACTTTTAATATATAGGTACCGGTACAACTAAGACTAAATGTTTGTTGTAAGGAAGATAGTCTAGCTCGTAATGACTATATGCTTTGACAATGCAGATATGTACAACTAACCAAAAATGGGGCAACAATGGGGAGAAAATATGAAAAGTAGAACAAGTTCATTAATTTCTTTATAGGCATAACTAGGGTTTAGATTTGGGGGTTGAAAAAAGAGATGGAGAAGAAGATACTAGCTAATTTCAATATTGCTCATCATAGAGAACTAAGAGACAAAAATAGAAGAGGCTAATGGCATTATATAAATATATTAGTACAAAGGAAACCACTGGAACAACAATAACAGCAAAAAACTGCTTTATTTTATAGGCCATAATTTGTGCACACGTGTGCATGTGCACACACATGCGGTGGGGAAGGGCAGAGGGAGAGATAATGTGCTAATGAGCACAGATACTGTGCAAATGGGATGATTTCCTCCTCACAAACAAGCACCAGTCCGGTTCAGTAAGAGGAAGTGGGAGAAGTGGGAGAAAGCTGAGCAGCTTTCTCTGCCTCAGTACGTAAAGAACACAGGGGGAGTCCATCCGAGACTGAGGGAACTGAGGCTAATCACATCAAAGGTTTTCATTCTTCTAAGTAACCAGTAATGTATAGTTAGAAGTTACCACTGGAGTGTCCTGATATATATTTCACTGTTTGTGAGAACTGGATAGGCTTTTTGAATTTGGATCCAAGAGGCAGTATAACTGGTTCTAGATACACAACTGCTGGTTGATGTGAATAAAGTTAAGGATTGTTCCTTGGGCATAAAAAAAGTGTATGTCATTAAAAGATAAATGTCTCCATTGAATAAACAAAAGGGATATTTCCAGGGAAACACTTCAAATTAAAAGATCTATGGTGAGCAATGAATTCTGTGACTGAAAGTCTCTGAGAAGACTTCTTGTTGCCTGGTAGTTAGATTTTTTTATTGAAAAGCTTCTTATCAGCATCTAGCTCAAGTATAAACATCTGATTATTGCCACCACCTGTCTCTACAAGAGTATTCTCATTTCTCAATAAACCTGCTTTCGTGCCCTCTGTCCTAGTCAAACATATGCCTGGTGACTTTCTCAACAAGGTGACTTCCTTCTAGTTGATTTCCAGCCCTGTGGTGATAGAACACCTTGTTTGCCACAGTGAAACTCTACTCCCTTGAAAAGGAGTCTCCAGATACTTTCCCTCAGGGAAATGAAATGAACCATGATCTTGCCTAACCTGCACCTTCGATCCTTATTTTTCACTATTCTTCTTTAAAGCAGTCACTCTTCTTTCAGTGATATATATATATGTGTGTGTGTATATATATACACACACACATATATATATATATATTTAGTGGCAACTTCATATTTACATTACTCTTTCTAGAAGGCATGTGAGGCTTTTCCTGATGCTGACCTCAGTTAATTAGCATGACATGCTTGGCTAAAGAGTTCCTTGGGTCAGTGTTTGGTATGGGAGATGCAGTGGCTGCAGGAAAGATTAGGGGCCAAGGTTCCCCACAGCAGCTTCCTCTTCTCACCAAAGCCTCAATTGGGAAAAGCCTTTCCCCTCCAAAGTGAATAAAAAATAATGGCAAACATAACAATGACTTGAAGAGAAAAGGAAAAAAGATGAAAACTCAAAAAGTTATACTTTTTTTTTTCCTAAACCCAATTCTTTGTTGCACTGAAGAGGGATGGGTGGGAAATGACCCCTGCAGGGGAGGGGTCCCTGACCAACTGCTTGGGTCAGGTTAAAGGAAAAAGGTCCTGACCAAGCTTTTGCTCTTGGGTTCATAGTTCTTTATTTAGCAGAGCCCTTCAGTGAGTTTGGGATCTGCAATGGAAGCAAACGGCTTCTCATGAATTAATAAAAATTTAGAGAGTGGGAGAGGCCAGCATTTGGGGTTGGGGAGTAGCTAATAAGTTGGTGATAAACGAGGGCCTAAAAAGTAGTGCCACCATCTTGAAATTTATCCTATTGGGAAATAGCTAGTAAGCTGTTATGACAATATTGATTAGATTTCTGCTTTAATCTATCACCTATCCTGTGCTGTTCTGCAATTCCCTTATGTTAGTCCAAACCTTCAGGAAAATTCTGCTATATCCAAAAACATGGCCTTCATGTTATTGGAAGATGGGCTGCTAGTACCCAACATGGGGCAGACGGGACCAAGAAGAGAGGAGGCCATCAAGAGAAACAAGAGTAATGGTTTGGCTAGATAGATCAGAAAAATGCCATCCCTGGAGAAATCAATGGGAATACCAGCTGGAGGGAGAGGGGGTAATTTCCCAAAGTAACAGGGGTGAGGTTTCCACTGTCTTATTTGCATACTAAAGAGAGGTCTCAAAGCTGTAAGAGTTGAGGACATCTGGTTAATACTAGTATTAAAGTAATTAAAATAGTTGAGTTATCTGCCAGTCCCATGGTTCCCAACTGTATTTCTCAGACTAGTGAAATTTTAGGGACTCCTGGGGTTGTCAACTTTTTATTGTATTATGCAAAGATATTTTAAAAACAAATTTTCACCATTGTTTCATAAAATAAGAAGCATTTAAACATGTAGACAGGCAAAATGGAAAGGGCATAATTTCATGACAATTGTTAAAAATGTTTTTATCTGGAATGATCTCACCCTTTCAACCTACTAAAATGTATCTTTTATTTTTTTAAAAGATTTAGTTATTTATTTTAGAGGAGGGGCAGGAAGGCATAGAAGGAGAGAGAGAATCCCAAGCAGACTCCACTCTGAGCCGCAGAACCCGACACAGGGCTCGATCCCAGAACCCTGAGATCATGACCTGAGCCGAAATCAAGAGTTGGACGCTTAACTGGCTGAGTCACCCAGGTGCCCCCAAAAGTATGTATTTTATTTTATTTAGTTTGAGTTTACCGTTTCCTTAAATCTTTCTTCACTTATTCACTTTTCAAAGACATTAGTAGATGAACATGACTCTGCCCCTGTCCTCAATATCTCACACTTCTCTAGGGAAGTCAAGCAGGTGACCCAGCTGTGAACAGTGCACCTGTGCCTGTGGCAGAGAAACTCACCAAATACTAAGGGCAGAAAGGCCAAGCAACAGTTAAGAAACAGTCAATCTATTTCTAAGCAGGAGTGCAAGAAATACTAAAGCCTGATGTCAGCACTCACTTTGCACCTACCATCTGAGTTTCCTTACCGATGATTTAGGGGGAAACTGTTAGTACACCCCAAAGATCATGGATTTTTTTCCGACTTATTCATTCTGAGCAAATTACAGGGCTAGGAATACAACTAATGTGCCATGTCAGCTGGTCCATACCGCACACTGGACAGGAAGAGAGACGAGTGGCATGGAATTAGGGGGATAAAAACTGTCCCTCTCACTTGTCCCCAGTAGAATGGCTCTGCACATGGTCATGCTGCTCACTTGAGGACATACAGCCTGAAGGGCAGCAGGGGACAGACCAGGGTGAGGGCTGTGCTGCCATGGCGACAGCACCTTTGGTGCCAGACTGGAGATGGGGAATTTGCTCAATACACATGGTTGGGAGATGACTGGGAGTGCTGGTGGGCACACTGGTCCATCCTGCTCAATACTACTCCAAGCTACCAGGTTTCTGAGTTCTGATTCTCAGTGAGAGTTAGAGAGGGAGGCCTATTGTGGTGTCCAAGTCATCTAGTTCTGGAATCTCCTGAGGGAGCAGGGAATGGAATGCTGGCACAGTAAGGGATACACATACACATTCATATGGGAAGAAGATCCAGATGCAGGTACACTGGGGAGTCTTCTCTTTTCTCTGTGCCCCAGAGGGGACCATATTCGAGGGAAAAACCCACCTATGAACTTTTTTCTACATTATACAATCAGAGTATATGTGTCAAAGGGAGCTGGAGCAGTCATTTCCTCCCCTGTTTCACCTCGATCCTTGTCAGAAATAGGTCTAGAACTTTCCCACAATTACACATCGTTATTTAACATCAAAACCTCCAGAGATCGGTGGCCAGCTGCAGTTGCAACATTTCTGGCCAGGTCTTGTGGCTTCTCGGAAGCATGGATGTGTGACAGTAGTACAGAATCGCAGGAAGTGGCTACTGAACAGACGCTCTGCAGCTTGCGTCCATTCTCACACATTCCTGTTTTAGATTCTGAGCAGCGCTCCCTCCCCATGCGCTATGAAATAGAAGGGTCTGGCAGAATCATCCAAATGAAATGAGGTTCCTTCTCCCCGGTATTAGGAACAGAGGTGAGGTCCTTTCCCTCCCCAACCATACAAATCTCGAGTTTCCTGGAGAAAGGCCCAGCAGGGGGCCAGGAGCCACAGAAGGTGCAGGGAACCTGAGCCTCTGCAAAGCCCCGAAATGCCAGGGGATCAGGCCAGGGAAGGTACGAGATGAACCGGAGATGTCCCCGAGGCCAGTTGCGGGAGAATGCGGCAGGCCGGGGCAGGGCAGTGATTGCTTTGAAGGGAAAAGGGAACAAGGGTCCGCTGGTCCCTGAGGACTCCCGAGGTCAATCTCCAAGGGACCCAAAGCAGCGACGGGGCTCTGAGATCTGGCAAGTTCCTGGGAGTCGAGCGAGGAGAGCGAGAGTCTTACCTGGCCCGGCTGGCTGGTGTAGTTGAAGGAGTAGGTGTTCTCCTTGGTGAGGCTTACCACCCCGCTGTAGACGCGATCGAAATCGGAGCCCCTGGCGAGGTCGCGGGGGTCGCGGCTCCGGAGGGGTTGCGCGGGTCTCCGGGGTGTCGCCGCGTGCAGGAGCCAGGGTAGCAGCGCGCAGAGCAGCGCGAGCCGCGGGCAGTCCCGCATGGTGGGCGCCGCGCCCCTGCCACCAAGGAGAGCCTCCCTGGCTAGGGGGCGAGCTCAGAGCGGGTCCTTCCAAAGCCCCCCTGCGCGCCTGGGCGCCGGCTTCAGCGCAGCGCGGGTGATGCCTGGCAAGCCCCTCTGGCGAGTGCTGGCAGCCCCCGGGCAAAGGACCGATCAAATATTGATGCAGCCGCCTGGGGTCTCCGCGGGAGGTCGCGGGCCAGGGGTAGCGGGGGCGGCGGATACGGGGGCCTGGGGCTACTGTTTTGCTCTCCGGCTTCTAAATCCTTTTCCTTCCCCTTTTCTCATTTCTCATAATCCCCCACTTACCCAGTCAGGATTTCAACAGATCTCTTCCATACTCAATCTCAAAAAAATAATAAAAAATAAATTTAAAAAGGCATTAGACATTAAAACAGAAATATTCACTAGTCTTGAAGAGTCAACCTGACTAGCCACGAAGCAGGAAATAGAGTCTGTTTCAAGTAAACGTGCACCCTGACTGCAAGGGAAGAAACAGAAAGCCACAGAGCCTGTCCCCAAAGAGGGTGCACGAGTTCGCTTTTCCTGTCTGCTACCTGCATGGAACTGCCCGTTTGAATGATGGTTGCTAACTTTACTCAGTTCTCCCTTCTCTAACAGAACCCCTTCCCAGACACCTGTTTTATTTCCTTATCATCTTCTATTCTCAGGGAGAGCCTCACCTCATTGCTTTCTCTCTCCCTCACTGTTTGTGTCCCTATTAAATATGTACAGTCATATAAACTGAAGAGAGAGGGTAAAGAAGACAATTTCCACCACTCCTGAAATCTGGTCCCGGAAGTTGTCAAGGACGTCTCAGCGAAGCTGGCTTTCTGCAGCGGGTCCTCCCCAACTTCTTACCTACTTTACCTCTGCAATGACTTCTTAGATTCTGGGAGAAGCCCTGGGATTCTGAATTGTTTTTCAAAGGAGAGAAACCACAGCCCATTAAAAGGAACTCTCCTTCTGGCAAAACTTAGGGGATTTGATTTAAACAGTTGGAAGAGGCAGATAAGGGGTGAGGTGGGAAGAGGATCCCTGGGAAGTCCTTGGGGAACATCAAACAAGCACAGTTCAGGTGTAGAAGAGAACTTACTCTCTTATTTCAACTTCAAGTTATTTGTAAACTAGAAAGTAATATAACCGCATTCAATCTGAAGGAACATTTAAAGAGAAGCCAGAAGAAGAAAAGATCGTGTTCAAAGAATTAAGTTACAGATTGAAATCCTAGTATTTACCATTCAAAGGGAGGGTTTGATTTATTTAGTTATTTGAGAGAGAGAGAAAGAGCAAGAAGGGGGAGGGGTAGTGGTGAGGGAGACAGAGAATCTCAAGTAGGGTCCACACCCAGCCCGGAGCCCCACTCAGGGATGGATCTCACGCCCCTGAGATCATGACCTGAGCCAAAATCAAGAGTCTGAGGCATAACCGACTGAACCACCCAGGCACCCCAGGTTTCTTTTTTTTTTTTAACTTCATTGAATTTCTATAATTTATTAAAATATCACAAATGAGTTCAATACATTTGGTATAATGTTTTATAACTGTGCAATCAGAAAACAGTGCTGATGGAAGATTGAGTCAGAGAGTCCTTATTAGGACAATTTTCACTTTTAAATAAATGTTCTTGAAAATGTATGGGTATAAGGACAAAAATACTAATTCAAAAAGGAGTCTGGGGGTAAAGTTTAAAGTGCAGCTCATTGTTTTAAGGAATATAATAATTTCATCCAGAATTTGAATGACATTAAACTGCTATATTTAAAATGCGTATGCCTCTTTTTAGAATTTAACAAAATTCCATAAACTTGAAGTTTATCAAGTCCTTCAAGGTTAGCTGGCCTGGCCAGTTCAAGCACTCTCTACAGCTAGAGGGTCATGGAGTCCTACTCAGCACCACAAGAGATGGGGAACTGGATTTTTCACAAGGTAACTCCTTCTTTGGGGGGCAAGTGTCTCATTATTAGAACAATATTTCACATTCTAAATTGAAATCTGCCTCTCTTCCACTCACTGGCATGGGTTCTGCCCTCTGGAGCCATAGGAATAAACTTAATCCTTCTTCCACATGACAGCCTTGTAGGTATTTGAAGGAGCTATGACCCTAACTTTAAGCACTGAAATTAGAAGTGATTAGAACAGATCCTTTATCTTAGCAAAGAACTCAAAATATTTATTTTAAAGCTCTTATAGATGACATATATAACAATTTGAATTATATATTACAAATTATACTATGATCTAATCCTCATTCCATTGAATGACCTTGGGCATTTAACCTCCCAGGATCACAAGGTTGCTGTAAGGATAAGAGGGTGGGGGTGGGGGGGAGAAGAATGTATTTGAAATTTTATTAGAAAGTTTAACATGTTGTATGACCAAATATTGTTATTGTATGGCTCCTAGCTCAACAGCTAAAAAGTTAAATATGGTCCATCAATCAGGCTTGTAGAATATCTACAATGCCAAGCTTCCACTGTGACGGGCCGAATATACGAACACACAATGGCTAGACCATATATGATAATAGACCTCTGACCCCAAACTTTACAGCAACCGGTCTAGGAAGCCAAACCACAGTCCTTGTAGCAAATGGCCCAGAACAATCAGGACTTGGTCAGTGACTGCCAACTTCCCCAATTTTTGCCTCTGCTCCCAACTCAAGATCAATCAGAGGAATCCAAATATGCTCTGCAAACCATAAAAATACCCCAGTTCTAGTTAGCCTACTTGCAGCTTCTCTATGCCACCAAGATACAATCAGAGTATTCTGAAACCTTGCCTTTTTTTCATTATAAAGCTTTCCCTGTCCCCTGCCTGCCTTTGAGTCTTGGCCAAGCGCAGGTGATGGTGGCTTGCTATAGCAAGCAAGCTCTGAATAAATAACCTGTTTTCATTTGAGTGGTCTTTCTTATTTCCATAGTTTTCCTGAAGGTTCCAATGAGATACTGTCTGTATTACCTGTCACCATGGACTCCAACCTTTAACCAGGTATGCTACACACCAAGGCCCCTCGTGCCTTACAGCTTGCAGTGTTGGGTATGTGTTGACATGGTGAGTGAGCACCGTGTCTGAGCTCTGCTTTCTTTGCTTTTGAGTTCTTTGGCTATCTCAACTCAGTTTGATAACTGGGTTTTGTTGTTGGTTCCCATTTATTTGGCATCTTTGGTGGAGTCTGGTCATTACTTCTCACCCCTTTTTGCTCTCTTTCCTGCTTCCGTTTTGTGTCATATTGTCCAAAAGTATTGTTTGTCATAGAGTAGAACACTGGTCCAGCATTCTTTTGGACAAACTTTGCTTTGGATCACCTATAAAACAAGGCTATCCTTTGTTTCAATTGTTTTGCCCTTAGAGTTTGGCTTTGATCCACAGAGAACATTCTCTCTGGTTTTCCACCTGCCTGCAGGTGTAGGTTGTTGGATCTACATTTGGAGGCAGCTACCTTCAAGTTGGGGTCTCAAGACTCACGGTGCACAAGCATCACATTCAGCTGCTAACTCTTACAGGCTTGGCTAAGTCTAATTCTTCTCTTCCTTTTGGAGAAGCTCCAACTTCTTATATGTCCACTCATTACAATTCTAATTCCTGCACCTATGTTTCAAATGATGACACTTCACCAAGGATGACCTGAGCCTTCAATGGCCACTCTGTGGAACACTGGCCTTGACCAAAATTGTTTATTTGAAAGGTGCTTTAGAAAAGAAAAAGAATAAAGATTTCTCAGATCCAATGGAATCTTGGATTAAATGAATTGTGTTCAAAAATTGCTTTACTAAAATATTCTTTGGTCAAAGCTAATGAGAAATTTGGCAAGCTTAGCCAATAATCTAGATTCATTTCCATAGTAAGTCCTCCCCCTCCAAGTCCTCCAGTTGCCTTCCTGTGGCCAGCTCTCTCACTTCCCCCTTATCCCTCTTAAAGTCCCTCCTTCTGCACCTCCTCCTTCCTCTTCCCCTTGTCCAGCTGCTCGGTCTTTTCCCAGCAACTTTCTAAAACCTCCAAATGCTAGTTGCCTCCAATAGTCTATCCCTCCCATAAGCCAGATATGCAGGTGACTGTAGAATTTAAACTTTGGATCCGAGATGAATTAAGAGCTATAATAAAAGATTTCCCTAAACCTAAACAAGACTGAGCAAAGATTCATAGAAGAATTTGTAATTCTTTGGATGCACATGATCCAGAGTTGCCTGACCTATATCAACTTGTATGCATGTTGATCAGAACCTCAGATGCTAAATCCTGGATGACAAAAGCTGATTGGACCAACCCGGAGAGGGACCTCCAGGATCCTCCACAAAAAACCTCAGGGTCAGAAAAAGGCCGGAAAAATAATTCAAAGTCTCCTAAAAGCCATACCTGAAACATTGCTAATAAAAGTTGATTGGATCATAATTTAATCATGCAAACAAATAGAAAAATGAAACTATAGGAGATTTGGGGATAAATAGAAAATATCTTCCAACAACACTAATCGTTCTACATCAAATCCTGCCATCTTTGCTCAACCTCTTCCTTGGAGTGAACATAGAACAAAAGTATAAGTATTTCAAACAACTCACAGATTTGTCCCTATATCCCAGCCCTGACTACAATTTTTGCATCCTGGATTGAAAAACATTTCTTCCTGCTCTGTGATACCACATCTACAAATTTATTAGGGAGAGATCTACTTTGCAAATAAAACTGTAATATTAATTGCACACCAGAGGGACTATTTTTCGAGGTTTCAGTGGATGTATCAATTCCTAATCAACTTGTGTCTGCTCTATATAAAACTTTCCTTCTCCACTATCCTTGATGTATGCTCCTGTTACAGATCTTGACATTGTACTTGACTCTTCATGGGCTAAAATTCCCATTGACGTAAGAAAAATAATTGGAACAGAATCTATAAAAGTTCAGATAGATCTTATCAAATTCCCAAACTTCCCCAAAGTTAGAAGCTAGAGCAAGAAAAGCCTCAAATTTATAGTTGAGAGCCT